CCTAGGGTTGGCCGCTGTCAGCAGACAGGCTACTGGGCTAGATGGACCTTTGGTCTGACCCAGTACGGACATTCTAAGCTCAGGGCTCAGGGTCGGGGGTCTCAGTGGACCACCTTGATTTCATGAAAACCTGCTCCTGGGTGGCGAGGCTGACAGCTCTCCTGCCCTAGACGGCTGCTTTCCTGTGCCTAGTGCGGAGGTTGTGGACTAGGTGGCTGGCTTGAGCCGTGCCAGGTGCAGGGTCTGCTGGCTGGGTGCTGGCAGGCTTGCACCTGGCACGGGCACCGTAGCCAGCAGTTTCCCTGGTGTTGGCCAGAGTGGCCACCAGGGAAAGCTGGGGAGGGCTAGCCTCCCACTAGTTCGAATTAAGGGGCTACACACCCCTTAATTCGAACTAGTAAGTTCAAACTAGGCGTTAGTCCTCGTAGAATGAGGTTTACCTAGTTCGAACTAAGCGCTCCGCTAGTTCGAATTAAGTTCGAACTAGCGGAGCGCTAGTGTAGCGCCTATCAAAGTTAATTTGAACTAACGTCCATTAGTTCGAATTAACTTTGTAGTGTAGACATACCCCCTGTTGGCTGCCCTCCGCGACGGGACCCCAGTCCTAGTGGTAAAGACACGGATGTTAAACCTTTTCTCGGTAACACACACACACACACACACACTGTCCTGACCGTCGGCTGACAAGCATTTGTGGGCAGGTGTCACAAGCCATTAGTTTGTAACAGGGTGGAAATTGTACCAAATTCAGCAGGTTTGTAGGGTTCTGACTCAAAACCAGTTTGAGGGTAGAAATGTCGACTGTTTTTCCCCTCCATAAACCTCTAAACAGAATGCAATCTATCAGTGAAAGCCAGAGGGTTTGAACTCTATTAAAATGAAAGTGAAAACAAGATTTAGAAAATACTTGTTCTGAAATTCAGAAGTGCTGTTTCAGACTTGAAATAATAACTGAGAACTCTCTAATTTATCCATGGTAGGGGAGAGAAAAAGGAAGAGGTTGCCTATTAAATCTCATACCGAAATCCCATCTTACTCTTCTGCAGGAGAGATGCAGAAGACCTTTCAGTGGGTGAGTGTTGTGCACCAGAAGTGCCAACACCCAAGGACCAGAATATCTGTAAGAAGCTGTCCTGAATCCCCCAGAAAGTATGAGAACAGTAATCCAGATTATTCCAGCAGGATTTAAGCACAGCCACTTTTCAATATTTATATGACAAGGGTTTATATTACATCCACTGACTGGTCTTTCCACGGACTTATTCTGTCAGCCCAAATCATTGAGAAGATATGACAAACTACATATTTTAATTCAACATACCACAGAAATGTGTATTTCTTCTCTCAAATGTGGAATTTTAGCTCATATTAAAGTGGCTTTAGCTCAGCAAGGGCATTATTAATTCTTGTGTTAGCAGGTGTAACATTGGATCACTCATTGTCCATTGCAGCTAGGAACAAAATCTTTAAATCAATAGAAAGAGGAGATTCCCATCTTCACATTAGGGCCTGTAGCACAAGTCTTTAGATGGGAGACTCAAAAATATTGGATGTTGAAGTTCAACACCTTATGCACAGAAAGTTATTTTAGCAATATTTGAGAGGTGTATTAAATGCGTTATTTCTGATTTTCATCTCACACTGGTATAAAACCAGTGTAACTCCTTTGAATTCAAAAGAGATACTCTTCACTTACACATAAGTAGGTGTAAGGGAAGTCAGGGT